TAAAGGTTGAGGAGGAGATCCTGGTTGTATTTAATAATAAGAGACTTCTCTCTTTAAATCTTGCATAAAGAGCAGCCTCTCACCCTTCTGCCCAGGTGAACCCCTTTAACTATTAACAAATATAGTATCATAAGCTTTTGTGGGCAAAATCCACTTCCTCAGATGAGATGAGAGGAAATCTCTAAGGTGCCTTAGGACTACTCATTGTTTTTAAAGTTACAGACTAACACAGCTACCTGTCTGAGCTCTTTGCCTACATGTGCCTCATTAAAGTGCTCTAGAATGCAGTATACATAGTTTCAGGATAGGGAGGCAATTGTCTTCATGCATTTATGCAGAAAGAATAAATCTTCCCCACTCTGTTGCTGTCCAAGTACTTCTGAGCCTTGTGAAGAATGATCTACCTGCTATAGGTGAGTCATGGTAGCACTCAGAAGATGCACTGCCCTCCTATGCCGACATTTTAATTGCTAAATGGGATGCACCTCTGCCCAGCCCTTCCTGTACCCCTTCCTGTTGCAGGCACCAGTCACCCCTGCCATTAGCCCTTCTCTTGCTCAAGATTTGGGGGAAGAGAGTTGGTTAAAACTTGGAGTTCAACCAGTGTGAAACCTGAGGTGAAAATGTTCCCACTGATACTGCCTGTACTGCCTGGAAAGATCACACAGTGACAGATACTTGAAAGTGAGGCTGATGGTAGCTTTGGTGAGGGGGACAAAAAGTAAAGAGAGGCCTGTTAATGCACATTTGAAAGAGACATGCTTCTGCCTAAAGGTATTTCCCTTCTCCACCTGTATGTCAGCCCACCATTCTGCAGACTATGCATTTTCTTTCCTGAGAGACCCTTGTTGCCTCAATCCAGTGCCGCATTATGCTATGTATAACCAAAAATGTTAAACTACCACATAACCCACCAGAAAATACATAAAGTAAGAAAATAATGTTGAAAGATGAAAGTGTTCTGAGCCTGCTTTGAAATAGAATAAAGAATCAACAGCCAGGATGAGTTAGGTTTTACCAAACCGAGATAATATAAGCAAAGGTCAAATACTGAGAAATAGAAAAGAAGGATTTCCTTCTCTGGCATTATTGCCAGCATCTATCCATCCAGTATCTAGGTAAAATATAAGCCATGAAAATATACCCCTTATATTTACCCCTTTTTTTGGTTCTGTTTCTATCCATCCCTTCTGTCATCATGTTCCTTCCATCTTCTCCTTCTCAACCACCCCGACAAATTGATAGTAAACAAAAGTAATAATGTACTGGAAGGGAATTGCATTTAAAACTTCAGCAGCTGCTACATCAAGTAGCTGAGGAATTAGTATTATCTTTAAAAGAAATAATATAGTCTTTATTACTACCAAATATGTTGTTTTCTCTAGGTTGTTTATTACTACCAATTTTTTAAGTTTTTCCAGTTACAGACTAATTCAGCTACCCCTCTGAAGCTTTCAAATATATTGTGTATAGCAAGATTTAGTTAAAGTGAATGATACAATTCAAATCTCTTTCAGCTGTTATTTTGGGCTGCCTGCAGACTATAGGTAGATGCACTTTTTTAAATTAAAGATGAGATTCCCATTTCATCATGTGACTCCAGAAGCTACTTATGCCTTAATCTGACCTTGGTTAGTACCCAGATGATCTTGCCTGGATTTCTGTCTGAGCCCATTGACTGGGAAGAACTTTGTGAATGTAGAGTGTATGATGTGAAGGCTCAAGTGCTATGAACACGATGATCTATAAGAATCACTTTTGCAATTATATATTGCACTGTTGAGTGTCACTGATGTGGATTAAGAAGCTCTCTGAAGTGAGGGTTCACAACACATAGCACTTTGCAGGATGCATCCATCATCTTGGAGGATCCCTAAGTGGTGGCATGATAAGGGCCTAATGAATAAAGGACTGTTTTCATGAGATAAATTATTTGCAATGAATGTTTCAACTAGCCTTGTTGGATGTCTGGATGGTCGGATCCCCATAGCGCTTTAAACCCTGTATCAAGTTCATTTGCATTTTCCTTCGCACGGTTTACATTACCAATGTGGATTATACTTATCAAAAAGTCTTAAATAAGGTTATGGTGGGAACTAAATAACATTTTAGTTTATTAAGACTTACAGTATGAAACAACTGAAAACACTAGTAATAGATCTAACAAGACTCAAAATTATCCATGCAAAATTTTTGTATTTTTTTAAGTTATCACGTCGAGCAGTTTTAAATGGGATTTTCTCTTAATCACTTTTCTGTATAAACTCTGTTCTTTTATCTTTTCAGAGTTTGCAACAACAACCTTTTCCTTTTGTTAAGGAAATCCACTAGCATTCCCACACTATATAAACATTTGAATGGTAAGTACCCAATCTTTTAATGTTTTCAAAAGGTTGTGATTACACTTGTCTGCAGCTTTGGACCACTGTATTTTAACCTAATGTCCTGTAGGTCCAATTGCAACTTTTTCCTTTTAATTTTAAGTAGGGGTATGTGATGTGGCATCTGCCCTGCACTGGCCCAGCAAGGGTAAAACTCAGCCCTGGGAGAGGGCTGCAGATTGTGGAGCTGAGGCACTTATCAGCCAATTAGGGCCCATCCGAGGGATGTATAAATGAGGGCTCCCGGAAGGGAGGAAAGAGACACTCCTGTTCCAGATGTGGAGCAGGAGGGACCTGGCTGCCAGGGAAGCTAGAGAGCAGGGCATGTGGCCTGTGGGCCAGATCCGGCCTTCCTAACATTTAGATCCGGCCCTTGGACTACATCTGGCCACTTTGTATTTATATATTTCCTGCTGCCCATGTCACTGAATTTCCAGGCAGTGTCTCGGGCAGCAGGATCCTATTTAAATGGCTCAAGGCTGCTGAATACAGCACTACCCTGGCAGGGTAGTACAACCCCAGGCAGCTGCTTGGCAATGCGGTAGTGGCAGGGCTGGAAGCCGTTAGCTGTGTTTTTAATTCAAAATCTCCAGCCCCAGACAACTCTATGGGAAGGCTAGTCCCCAGGCCTGCCACTTTTGTCCCAGGCCCCACCCCTTCTGGGGTGGAGCCAGTCCGCAACACGTACCAAAATTCATTAAGTGGCCTCCTTGTGAAAACTATTGCTCACATCTGCTGTAGAGGCTTCCTGACACAGAGTAGGGCTGGGGAAAGGCAGGCATGCAGCACTGGAGAGCGTTGGCCAGGCAAATTCCCAGACTAAGGTCTTGCTCTCAAGGCCTGAGCATACTAGGGCTCCAGGGAGGCAGCAGGTCCAACCCCTTGCCAATGATGCGTGGCCATTTCAGACTGCAGTTTGCCACTGAGGCAGGAGCCAGATGATGACTGGCAGCAGGGTCACTGAGGCAAGGTGAATACAGGGGATTTGGGGTTCTTTGAGGAGGACCCAAAAGTGTGGGGGCACTGTGGGAGGGCAGTACCCTGAAGGAGGGGGTCCACAGTCCGGGAGGGACACAAGTCCTGATACGAGGTAGAGAATAGACAAACAGGTAAAGCAGGTGAGACTCTGTCCAGAAGGGGGTGCGGAGTTGAGCTAATTCCCATGTGACAAGCAGGCGGCACGATGGTAGTGAGTCACACTGTGTTACAGGGTATCACTGTTTCCATCCCTAAAAGAAGAATTTTAGATTGTCATCAGATGCTCAGTTTTGAAGTATATAGAAACTCAGTGCAAATACATGGCCCCTGATTTGCATGTGGACAAATACCAGAGTTACATAAATATTAGAGTTTGCAGACGTGGACTCCTGTATCAGCAGAACACAATAATGCTTGCCTTTTTTTTAATGTACACTTTTGAAAATCTATGCTATTCGATACTGTATTTTGTAGACCATAAACTAGTTAAACTATGAAAGGAGATATTCTCATTGTTTACTACTCCTGAGGTTTATTTTGTTTATTGTTTAAAATCTAGCTGAAAGCATATTCTGAACAAATAATTTTCTGTGTTCCAGAGAAGCAAATCAAGGATATTTTCCAATGATAAAAGGGAGTGTCAGCAATAATGACATTTCACATGTATCTAGCTTCATGTCACAGCTATATAATACTGTATCAACTGTAGCTACATTGATGTTTGCAGTGTTGTAACTGTTGATCCCAGTATATTAGAGAAACGTTGCATATTCTGAACAAATAATTTTCTGTGTTCCAGAGAAGCAAATCAAGGATATTTTCCAATGATAAAAGGGAGTGTCAGCAATAATGACATTTCACATGTATCTAGCTTCATGTCACAGCTATATAATACTGTATCAACTGTAGCTACATTGATGTTTGCAGTGTTGTAACTGTTGATCCCAGTATATTAGAGAAACGTTGATCCCAGTATATTAGAGACGCCGCTTTGCTCAGCGTCTCCCCGTTTTGCTTGGGGGGGGGGGGCGCGCGC